GATGGTTTCCAGTTTCTGAATAGCATCTTCCAAGTTTTTAAATTGGGTTCTGTACTTGGTAGAGCTTATAACTAGCTCACCCTCCTTGTTGATGCGATTCTTTTCCTGTTGGATGTAAAAAAATTTTGGATTTATAGTGCAACCTGTATTAGGAAGCCTGTGCCACGGATGAAACTTATGTCTGCGAGCCAGTACCAAACCCTGTTATGAGCCAGGATTTTAGTATGCACAGTGATTGCCCCATTAGAAAAACCATTGTCGATTTGCCAGTCAGGTTAAAGGACCTTCAAAACGCACTTCTGGTAATTCGTTGAGTCCGCTGGGAGCCCAGAACAAGGATTTCGGCACTGCTTTGCATATGTTACTAGCTACGGTTAGACAACATCTGTAATGTATGCTGGTAATAGGTAGTCACATGTGGGACCTATGCTGGCATGCAGTTACTACTATGGAACTGCAAAGCTCTTGGAGACCTATATTTTTATTGGCCTTTGGAACACAGCTGTTTATGTTTTTAGGGCTAGGAACATTGATTGGGTCATTCATCTGTTGCTTTGTTAGCTAAATAAATAACTCATTCTGAGAGCTTTGCAAGCCTATTATATCTTTGTTTTTGGCAAAATTTCCACTGCATACAGAATAGTTCTGTGTTCTGCTAATCTGACCAGCAGTAAGGATCACAGTTTCAAACCTCATTTATGACCTTTATGAAGAGTGATTGGGAAGTGGAGAGTCGCTCAAAACATCTTCCTTACTAACTGGCAGTAAAGCCTTAAAGTATTTTAATATTTATGGTCAGTGAACAAAATTACTTAATATTACATGTTTTTACAACGGTTAGAATGTTATAGTGAGGGGTAACCAGGATGCTATAACATGGTTTGATAACGATGAGGTTTATGTAACTATACTTTCGTCTTACTCTCTCCAAAATCTTTTGCTGAACATTTTCAGGTATCCAGTCTGCACTTAACAAATGAAATCTCAAGTCTACCTTGGTATTAACTGAAAAATATCACAATTAAATGAGTCAGTAAAAAAAATACTCGCTCTTGTCGAGTTGCTTTATCATACTGAAAGTGGGTTAAGTTCTGGCCACATAGGCCTCCTAATGATTCTGTATGCATAAGTTTGCAAAACCAAAAAAAATTGGGTTCAGCAACTCAGTTTAAAAGGTGGAACAGTCACTCTTAATTGAGAGGGCGTATCAAAAAACCCTAAGTGACTACAGAAAATTATCTAATTGATGCCCCCTCTCCAAAAAATGCCTCTTGTTTTTTAATGTGCACCCCCCCACCCCAACCCCCCAGCCCGAATGCCAAACTCCTCCTCTCTATTAACCACCAAAAATTAAATAAAACTGGGTGTCTATTAGATCATATACGATATTGTTTAAATGTTATATTCTCCTTCTAAATTGCCTTGTATTTGCTTGTGAAACAAAAGGAGAGTTTGGCATTACATCAAAGGCCTCCTAGGGCCTCATTCGAGGCACTCTCTTCAATTGTAGCCTTGTTACCTACAGTATATCCTCAGTTGTCTCATTTTTGCAGCCAGACAACACACACCTTTGTTTACATTTTGTCCCCCAGGACCAGAGCTTCTTGCATACTTTATTGTCAATCTGTCTGCAAATCAATTGCACAATAACATCCATTTTAAAACAGCTTTAAATTTCAACCTAAACCTTAAACTCAACAGCCAATGGTTTAAGTTGAGTATTCAATTTTTGTCAGTTTGGAAGGCAAATAGATTCCTCTACCATACTGTCTTTTCAGTTATCGATCACAGAGAAAAATCATAATTTTGGTACGAACATCCATGACCAACACACTGCTGCTTTTTTGTTCTGACGATACTGTTGCAACATTATGATGTCACTCGGGATATGTACACCGTAACTGAACAGATACACAGGAAATTGTTACCTGTCTGTTAAAACATTAGTTTTCGTTTTATATTATTTGAATGGGCATTCAACTTTCATCTGTAGCTCTTTACAAACACAGATCACAACACAGGAAAATAAAAACAAGGACAGCAGGTTTACCAAGAGGAATCTTTCCTTTATAGCTTATACCCAATCCATTTCGATTCTGAAAAACAAGGACATGACAGAGTTAAGAAAGACTCGCTTAATACAGTCAAACTGTATAAAATGAACCTGTATTAACTGTGATGAACCCAGGGCTGTCATTGAGAGGCGGGGGGAAGGGATCTTAAGTGCAATAGCCCAATCTGTTCAGCTACCCTAAGGTCAAGTTCAATCGCTAAATGTTTACGTTTGAAATTTTAAACCGCATGGTTTCTGTAAACGGTAAGAAAATCTCATTTCAAAAGGCTTAATCTGCTTAAAAATCAAATAGAGACAGCCTGAGACCTTTTGTAGCATGCATGCTGCAATGCAACATGTTTGATCGAGGTGCTTTTAACGCTTTACCTCATTTTCAATGCTCCTTAACTTAATAAAAGAGGTGTGAAGATATAGAGCTCCAACGTTGTTCTGTCGTGTTTCCAGAAATCCACGAAATGTGATAACATATGAATAGGAACGATGGAAAAGGCTACGAAACATTTCACTTCATGGCCGCCATTAAAATTTCCCAGCAACCCTAGCGTAAGTTAAAACATATGTAACGCGCGGCAGCTGCAACGTGCTATTTACAGTCACGCACGTTACCGTCACGCAGAACGTCTAGGAAGGTGGCTTGATAGGGTTTTTCCGGGTTAATACCGCCCAAGTTTGACTAAAACTACGTCGCCATTAGCGAAAAGTTGGAAAAATATTAGATAAAGATGAAAATTTGTTATCATCAGGGTTACACTTATTACAATGACATCGGAGTCGTCATAGCAACGAAATGACGGAAGATTCAAGCATTACCGATTTTACTTGCAGCCGTATTTCTCAGCACTAGGAACTGTTCTTCCAAAATCGTTAACAGAAACTTTTTTCCTCCAAGATTTTGCTTAAACGTCACGAACGTCGAGGCGGCTATTGGAGGAAAACGAGGCTCCTACGTGAACGATTTTAGAAGGACAGTTCCCAGTGCCGAAAAATACAGCAGCAAGTAAAATAGGCCATGGCGACATCTCGTTGCAATGACAACTCCGATGTCATTGTAACCCTGATTATAAAAAATTTTCATCTTTATCTAATAACGTGAACTGTGGTGGTTATTTTTTCCAAATGTTTGTTAATGGCGACGTAGTTTATGCTCAAACTTTTAAGTACTGACCCTGAAGAACCCTTTCGAGCCACCTTAAATTTATTTTTTCGTAACTGTTCGCTCGCACAAAGACACTCTGCCTAACTACTTAATTTCAATAAGCAAGAAAGTGTGACATGTTTTTCGGCTTCTCTCAACAATTTTGTACCAACTATGACAGGATAATCGGATAGAGACTTATAAGATCTAGGGCGTTGACACCTACATTGACCGTCCAGTGGCGGATCCAGGGGAGGGACCCAGGGGAACTGGGCCCCCCTCCCTTATGCTTTGACCAAACTGAGGCCCAAAGGGCCGAGAAAAAATTTTTTTCTAAGACCGGGCTCCCCACTTATCTCAGGGTTTGGATGACCCCCCCCCCCCCCCCCCCCCCCCCCCCCCCTCCCGGCGCGTGCCCCTTCACCCCCCCCGCTCCCTTCTTCTTTTGTCTCTCCACCATATCAACACTCGGAACGACTTGTTCTCATCGTGAAATTTTACGTCCTGCGGGCGGTGCCGGGGGGGGGACCCGGGGAACTGGGCCCCCCCCCCCTCTGTTTTTAGCCCACTGAGGCCCCAAGGGGCGAGAAAAAATTTTTTTTTAACACCCGGCTCCCCCCTTTTTTTCGGGTTTGGGTGCCCCCCCCCCCCCCCCCCCCCCCCCCCCCTTATCTGAAGGTCTGGATCTGCCACTGCAGTCCTGATTTGTTCAGAATGTTTAAGCGCAAAAAACACACTGAAGTCTGTTGTCTGCAGGAACCAATAGATTAACTAAAGGACAGCAACTGTAATCCTTAAACAGAACCAGACATATTCTCTGTCCGTTGAGCTAAAAGCTCGGGAAAAGAGGAGAAAAAGGCGAAGAGGGGAATTATCAATGACAGAACTAATTAAAACAATTATTGATGACATCACACTGCAATTAAAATCAAAGAGTTCATAGGCGCGCGGTATAATCAACCGCTAGGTTCGTTTTTTCAGAAATATGGTTACTTGACGGAACGGGGACATACATTTTGTTTTTTGATGATTTTGCGTGAATTACCACGATGTTAAAATCTAACATCAGCCTTGTGAAAAAGAATGAATCATGGGTCCCAAGGAAAGAGCAACAAATTGCTGCCATAGAAAAACATGGCTACACTTTAGGCAAAACTCTTGGAGAGGGAGCTTACGCTAAAGTCAAATTAGCTGACTCCAAAAAACACAACTGCAAAGTAGCCATCAAAGTCATTAACAAGAGAAGAGCGCCCAAGGATTTTCTAAAAAAGTTCCTGCCTCGTGAAGTCCACCTGATGCATCGCTTGAATCATCCCAACGTAGTGAGTAAAATGAGAAATATTTTTCTCCAAGAGATGATAACTAAGATAGTAGAACGTATTCAATCATTCCAAAATTTTTTACCCGTTTATTTTGTCTCATCGCTATTTTTAACTGTGGGTTCGATCGGGTAAACTACACTAGCCTGTTCCAGGCGTTTAGATAGTAGGGAGGCGTTAAGAAAAGTGAGCAAGAAAAAACAGCGACTCCACCACTTCCTTTCTTCCGCTTACCCCCCACCCCGACCCCTCTGATCTCCATTTCGAACCACTCTCCACTACCTGAAAGCCTTGAACTGTGCATGAAATAAAACCAGGAACACTGGAACAGAGTCGGAATACCTAACATTAAAAATACGTCAAGACTGAGATAAGAAAAGAGAACATCAGTGTTTCTCCTGATGATAGATAGGTTTACTATTTGTCTCTTTTACCTATTATCAGTTCTCTGAAGTGTTCGAGAGTGTTCCCTTGTTCCGGTGTTTCGGATCTCGCCCAATGTGAGGGGATCCGTATTTTTGCCTGGGGAAACTGGAATATTGGGCTTTGGACTCCGGAATACAACTCAAGGAATCCGGAATCCCAGTAACATGATGGCTTAACTATAAGAAGACTCATTCACTACATTGCGAAACACTGTTTTCTGTCTTTTATAAAGGGGTAGTTTCGTCGGAATCTACGAATTGAACGCGTGTGTTTTTCTTGCAGATCAAACTACATGAGGTCGTGGAAACGTCAACCAAAGTGTACATCATTTTACAGTTAGCATCCAAAGGGGATTTACTAGAATACATTAACAACAAAGCTACGCTGAGCGAAGACGAAGTGCGCGTACTGTTTTGTCAGCTTGCCGCTGCCATGGCATACTGTCATAAGGAGCACGTGGTTCACAGAGATTTGAAATGTGAAAACATTCTGATTGATGGCGAAGGAAAACTAAAAGTGACAGGTAAAAATAAAATAAAATACTGAGATGTGAACTGTGCGTTCATTTAGCAAATGATATGAATGATTTTGTGAATCGAGTTTACTGAAAATAAAGTGTAGACTAACAGTTGAGCGCGTGGAACATCGCATGAGCATGCCCTCCCCACAGAAGGCTACTTTGTGTGCTCTCACCTATACCGAGTACCCGAGAGGGTACTAAGAAAGGTTTTATACGGGTAGACTCCGCCAGCGTGGTCTAACCCCTTACCCTTATATGTACCATTTTTGACAGACAAGGTACCCCTTTATAATTAGTATACCTCCTATTGCCAAATAGTACCCCTTTCACATATCATTTTATCCATTTCAACTGCTGTAAATGTCTTTGAAATATGAATAAATATGTCGACTTCAACTGCCATAAAATCCTTTAGTAGCCCTTTTAAGTCATTTTATAGACCGAAATGACAGATTTCCGTACCGGCTTTTATATACTTCGACTGCAACCTCTGCCCTGGGAGCGAGGTTGACCTCGACTGGTGAAATCCCGACCCATTCATATACCTGCAGCTTGAAAAAGGTACACCTTTCGGACGGGACCTCCCCGTATAGGCCATGCCATTATAGGAAGTACCCCTTGGGACCGAGTATTGCTCGCTCAAATCTCTTTGTCAGTTTATATCCTTAACAAAAGAAATCATGATCTCAGTTGAGTAGGGGAACGCTATTGCATTAGCAGTTTAAGAACAAGTCAGTAGGGAAAATCCAAAGAATACCCGTTTATGCCTTTCACTTGGATTTCAGACTTTGGTTTTGCAATAAGTACGATCAAAAATCGTCTGCTGGAGACGTTCTGTGGTTCGTACGCCTACTGCTGTCCCCAGATCCTCAGAGGAGAGCCATACGACGGTAAAAAAGCGGACGTGTGGAGCATGGGAGTGGTTTTGTATGCAATGGCCTGCGCAAGGCTGCCGTTTAGCGACGAAGATATGCGTGCTTTAGCTAAACAGGGCTACCAGGGCAAGGTCAAGTTTTCCAAGAGAGTCAGTAAGGGTATGTGGATAAAAAGCAGTGGCGGATCCAGAAAAAAAAAAACATTTTTTCGGACCTTCGGGCCTCAGTTTGGTCTAAAAATAAGGGGAGTCCGGGCCCCTCGGCCCCTCCCCTCGATTCGCCACTGAAAAGTAAGAATTGTTTGGAATAAGGGAAAATAATCTAAAAGCAATTCAAATTCATAACGTACAACACTCAGAAAACTTACTTCTTAACAACGTGGTTCATGGGTGGGTCTGGTCAAATTTCAGGACTTCATCCAAAGGTTTTAAATCACTCGTATAGCTCAGAATGCTAAACACAAACAGGACCTCAGTTACGAGGGGATTGCTTACCGTCTATCAGTGGTCTTTGACGATTGTTGATCCATAGACTGAAATGCTAGCTTCCTCCAGACGACCTTACGCAGAAAAATGCTATAGTGCTGTAAGTCACTCCCAAGCTTAGGAGTTGTCACTTGAATCATCGCATCAAAATGTTCGTCTATCTTTAAAAAGCACTCAATATTTTCAGGCTCCTCGTGACTTTTATCCGCACCTTTTACAAGTTTTTTCAAAAAATAATTGAATTTGAGAAAATCTGTTTTCCATGCAGAGGAAAATGCTGGACTTTTCTTGCGTGAAGGTGATAAATTTACTCAGAGACCACAATACTGACCTCTTTGTCTCCTTCTTTGCCATAGAATGTCGCGACTTAGTCCGCAATATGCTAAATGTGGACCAAAATGAACGGTTCTCTGCGGAGCAGGTATTTCGAAGCGCCTGGTGCATGAAGGCCCTCAAGGAGAATCCTGATCTGCGGTACCTCGATGAAAATCTTCATCTAGCTTCCTTTCGTAAGCCTTCAGAATGTGTTCCTCAAGAAAAAGATGAAATTGGTAGGTATAACTTTAATAAAATTGGTTTGTTATTAAGGCCGCTGAAGGCAGCCTCGAGGACAGTGCGCTCGTCTCCGTTTTCCAACGGGGTCTAAGCCCAAGTCCGCATTCGTTTATTGTCTCCATCATTTTTAGGTGAAGGCAAGTACTGGCTGAACAAGGCTCTAAGAGACGAACGCACTGTCTACGAGGCTGCGTTCAACTGCCTTAACAACAAACCAGATTTGGGCTTTGGATGAGCTAGGACTGATAGGATCTTATTTTGGTGCGTTTTTTAGGATACCATATAAATTTCAGACGTTCTTAAATAACATTTGAAAATGGAAGTCCTGAATGACTTTCACGTGATGTGAGGAGGCCAAGGATGGCAGGGTAGTGGGGGGGGGGGGGGGGGGGGGGAGAGACCAAAAAATTTTAAAAAAAAACAAGAATTTACTTTTTTGGGGAGTTTTTTCTTTTACACCTATGTCGCCGGGGGTGTGTTGTATTTCGATGCAGGGGCGCATCGCTGTTTTTTTACCTGCAAAGGAAAGAAACGCGCTGACCTCGCATCAAAACTCCCAATGGTCAACAGTGCAATGAAATCATAGTTTGGGTGTATTGGAATAGGTAAAGTTTAGTGATTTTTTTTTGTTTGATGGTAGCACGAACAGTAAACATCATTAGTTTTTTAAAAAAAAAAATTAACGGATGGGGTTGGCAAGGTATATGAGGTGGGGGGGGGGGAAAGAGGGGGGGGGGGGGTGGGGGGGGGGGGGGGGGGACAGAGCATACAAATTTTCAGCCAAACACTGACTGTAATCTTTATGGGGTAATTTCTCTATATCCCTTATGGCCTGCGTAGTGGATATTACTGACATGCGCAGGCTACCCAGGTTATTTTCCTCACGTTAATACTGACGAAATACAGTGTTCTTGACTGAAGCCCAGCCTGAGCTTTGTTTTTAAATCATATTCCCTAGTTTTCTCTGTCTAAGCCTCAACGTATCGTGTATAAAACGATGTGAGCGCAACACCCATTTAATGTCCTCTTAATCTCTGGTCAGCGTCAAACTTTTGATTTTACTTAAGATCGACAACGCGTAACAGACAATACAGTTAACGACGAAACATCTCCCTTAAACATGCCCTGCATGCGAATGATGAATCCTTCATATTTGACCTCTAATTACATGTTTTGTTTCATTCTATCAGAAGAGGAGGAATCTTACCCAGTAGACGTTCAACCTATTCACCCTAAAATAGGCCAGAAATCTAAAGTGGTCAAGTGCTTCACTTTCGTACCAAAGCCTTGTCTGCCAAAGCAGAAACATGATCCTGGGCGACGTCACACTATATCTGGTTTCGAGATACATGATAAGAGCTATGGACTGAATTTACGCGATGACCTGCTTCGAAATTTAGCTCAAAAGGAAGTGAAAGAAAAGTCATTACATAAGTTTGAAGAAGAGAAGAAGGCATTGCCTGCAGAGTCTTATAACAGGCATAAAAACCGGAGAAGGAGTACACTTGTTACGGACGTGCTGCAAACGGTGACACCACCCAAGGAAAAGAAAAACGAACCCTACCAAAGGAAGGCGTCCTTAGTATCTGACGTCATCAAATTTGATCCTAAAACCGCTGCAGAGAGACGAGGATCAATGGCAGGCTCCAAAGCAAATCCTCACAATCAACCAGAAACGATAATGGAGGAGAGTACTAACTCTCCTGAGACGTCGGAGAATGCACCTGAGCCCGCGACAAACCAATGTGCAAAAAGCCCAAGAAAGCGCATGCCTGGCGGTCGTGAGTCCCGTTTTAAAGAAGTTGACAAGCTTAAGTATACTTCCGCAGCGAGAGCAGCTAAGTTGGCTTTTAAAGAGGCACACATTTCAATGCAAGCTAATCGAAGGCTGTCTTTGCAAGGTCCCGATCATTATTTGACTATGCAAACCGTAGTGAAGCTACAAGGGATTGAAAAGGAACCAAGTACAAATACAAAGTTTATAAACTGGAAAAAGAAATTTAAAGTAGGCTTGGAAACAAATACCTAAAGTTAGTTTCTTCTCTTCACCCTTTCTGATTACATCCACAAAAGTTGAAAGTACCTTTTTGTTGGTCGCGCCGTAGTGCAATTCACGATTTTCCTGGGTATGTCCTTAAGGATCTGCGGAAAGTGGGAACTTTTAGGCAAATCTGAAGATTTTTTTCACGTGAATTTGTGTTGTTAGCGCCTCTTTTCAAAGACGGCGTACTTTTAAAATACCAAACCAATCAAACTACTAAACAATTCAGACAATATCGTACTACAGATGCGTCATTTAAACCGACTCCCACTTATAAGTTGGATCGAGCAACATAAGTTGAACTCAGGTTGTACTCTGAACTCAACTTTAAGTCACGTTGTACTGAAACTAAGCTTATATTATTTGAGTGCAGTCACTGCGTTAATCAAATAAAAAATTGTATTGCTTTGGCATTTAGATAAAATACCTCAATGTCACGTTTGTAGACTTAACTATTACGCATATTTCCTTGCGCGCATCTTCGTAGTCAGACAAAAGAAGTATGAAAACTGACGAATACTGACCTTCATGCCGTTCATTCACTAAACCGTTCTGGAAATTTCCGGAAAAGTTTTTAACTAGGGTTTGAAAGTGAAAACTACGGACTTGTGAGTTTTCAGCCAAAACCAGTATTTGACTCTGCGCACCTCAAGAAAAAACATGATGCATTGCAAGTATTTTCGTTTGTCGGAGTGAAAAGTGTTCTCTAGGCTTTGGCGGCGAGAATTAAAGTTAGCGCAGGAACAATAATTTGAACTCCACAAATTTAAAGAAATCACACTCTTCACGTCAGTTCTTTTATCCTCCGCATAGGTCACGAACTGGTATTTCAAAAATAAAAGAAAAGGAAATAAAGTCAGCTGTATAAGGTCTGTCTCCACTCCGCTTGTAGACTTAGACAGTTTTCCTATTTGCCCTTCCCATAGTTCCTTGCGCGCTTTCTTTTTCCCTCTCCCACCCTATTGGCGAAAAAAAGAGGCCTTTGTGCTCTGAGTAGACTTTCTTAAAGTCCTTTTTGGCTTTGGCCATCTCAGTTAGGAGCTTCGCGCTCGTTCTCGCAACTTAGACACTCAAAACGCAGTCGATTTGTGGACAAGTCTACAAGCGGAGTAGAGAGACGCAATCCAGGCTCCTTAACTGTGCAAGAGAGGCATCGTAACTGATACAGTTATGATTTCAAGACAAGAACGCAGAGTCATGCAGGTAGCTGTATTTGGTCATAACTTCACGGTTGTCAGTGCCACAGAAGAATCGTGCCTCACGGCTGAGTTGGAATTTTTACATTCCCATATTGCTTTGCAGTCTCCCCGGTTTGGCTTTCCGACAATATTAGTTGAAAAAAAAACTGAATTTTTTTGAATGTCCTTGAGCCTCACAAAGCATATTTCACTAAAAGAAAACAATACGCAATGAAGAGAGCACTCGTTTCAATAGTGCTTACAGCTACTCGTATACGAACGATAAGCACGTTTTAATCATGTTAATAAACTTAGACTTTATTATGAAAGCGGATATTCGAGTAGAATTGGATTATGGTGGATTTGAAACAATTCACTGATTCTTAATGTAAATCAGCCTAAACTTGTCATGTTTAGTAAGTAATTAGGTATTATCCTTGTACGAACAATGTTATTGCACACATTAAGGAATGACACTTGAGTTAAGGGCTTTTCTAGGCGAGATAACAACACTATGAATTCTCCCAAAATTGATTATCCTTGACAATCAATTAATAAATTTTGTGTTCATAACTCAGACATCATTAATTCATGGCCCGTAAAATCTTGAAGGTGACATCATGTTTATTGACCCGCAGCAAATATTTGTAGCTTGCAGTTAAGTTTATCTGTGACAACAATATTCCCCTCTGGGGTCACTGCTAAGGCTTCAGGACCAAGGAACTGACCATCCCCCTCCCCACTGGTACCAATACTGCTCAGAATTCGACCAGTGAAGGACAAGATTTTCACACAGTCATTGTTGTAGTCACAAACAAGGAGATACTTGTCCTTGTAAACTGCGATTCCTGATGGCGCGCTTAAACCGTCTCCGCACGTTCTTAGAAACGTGCCGCGCGTGTCGAAAACTTTCACGCTGTCGTTGTCCGTGTCAGCGACGTAGAAACGCCCCTCGTGATAGATCGTGTAGCAAGGGTAGTTTAGTCTTCCTGGACCTTTGTTTCCAAACATGAACAGGAAGTTACCTTCATGGTCAAAAACTTGGACGCGTGAATTTATGGTATCTGTGACAATGATACGGCTATGGGCGTCTACGGATACCCCATGGGGACCTCTAAACTGTCCCTGTTCCTTTCCATGACGACCAAAGGCACGTATAATTGTAAAAGCTGGAGACAGAATGACTACCCGGTTTCGGGCTTTTTCTACTACCACCATGTTTCCGGCTCGATCGCATGCGATCCCGGTAGGGCAGATAAATCCAAATTGTTTTCCGCTTTCTCTAGAGTAGTGGTCGTGAACTCGAATGATCTTTCCTTCTCCAGACAACACTTGTAATCTGTCATTGTTGTAATCTGCCACAATAATATCTCCTTCTGGGTCGAAAGCCACTCCAACAGGTTTATCAAACCGGCCGATGTCTTCGCCTCTTTGCCCAACAGTAAACAGCAGTTTAAACTGTGGTGGTTTATTGTTGACGCAGGGCAGTGTTTTGACTCCCGTATCACATTTGTCACGGTCAATGGACATGCTATGCGCTTCAAAAACTCCATGTTGTGTGTTTAGATGGTTTTTGAGGCCCACTAACGGTGCTGTTTGATGTAAACTGGAGTGAATTTGTGAACTGTTTTTCTCAATATCCCTCCAGGAACCAAAACTTTTGATCGCGGCTGCCTTTTCCTGCGTTTTGCAAACGTCCTTTTCAGAAAAGCGTCTCCAGTAGATTTGTGTGTCTTTCGGCAGGTTTTTGTGATCGTGCAGATCGTTCCCTGGAATCTCGTTGGTCACGTTTTTACAAAGATTCGTTTCTGTTAGTAACACCCCGTTCTGGGGTATCAAACTCTTTGCCATTCTCTCCGATAACTCAGCAGCCGAACTGTTATGAAGACCGTTGACAGACGCTTTAAATTCAACTTGCTCAGACGAAGTAATCTGAGGTGAGACCGATGGAATGCATCCCTGCAGCATATTTTCGTGTATAGAACCCAACACCTTAAGATTGTTCGGCATTTTCTGTTTCTGAGAAGGTCTCGAACTCAGTGGCGAGAGAACTTCACTTCTCAAGCTTTGCTACGCAGTTGGCGAGACTAAAACTATCATGGCCTATTTACGTCTTTTCAAACACTGGCACGTTGACACGTTTCATGATGATTCTAGAGGTACTGTCAATGTTTGAGAATTATGAGACATTTATTACCCCAGATTAGCATTGGCAGTTCCACCTACCCTTGACGTGCGGTATTGTGTATTGTTAGACGCTATGCTTTTGTACTTCTATTGTTTGATTGGTGAATAATTTAATTGACTTGTTTTCATGTTTGCCATTTAGAAGAACAATAAAAGGCTGTTTTATTAAATCGCTCTTTAGAAAGCCCAACTCTCATTAAAATGTATTTTTACTTTTTAATACCCGTTGGGTAATGACCAACCGTCACATTAATCGGCCTCTCTGTGCGGACGGAATTATCGAAATAAACTCCATATCGCCGCCGACCAGCCTGGCCGCCCACAGTCTAGTTTTGAGAAGAATGCCAGCAACGTGTAGAAGGAAAAGAAAAATCGCTGTGGCGACATTATGAATTTCTAAGGATTTATAGAAAGAATTAAAGAAAAATCAGATATAACGTTTTTTGCTAATAATATTTGAAACTTTGAATGCTGGCTTTATTGATACGTGTTAAAGTGCTAGCCTGTTGAACGGAAGCTCCAACCCCCTATAGTTCCTGAACGAAACAATTGAGGTACAACCAAAGATTATCTGTGAATCGTTTAATCTTTTTAGGAAAAGGAAAAATGTAAATCACGTCCAAGCCACTTTGCTTCTTGTACTGAAATCTTGTTGATAAAATGAACGCTTTAAAAAACCTTGCTTGAGTTTAATTAATTATAACACTTACCTATTATTTGTGTTAACAACCCATGACTAGGTGCAAATCATTTAAATTCGGCTAATTTGAACCTTCGTCTATCAAAAACGGCAGTAGATGTTCTCTCTGTGAATGGATTATCTTTATTTGGGGAAAGTTTTTTTTAGTTTGCGTTGTTTGCCGTCTTGACACCGCTAACTGAACAGAGAACAAAATTTACATGTTGGGGTTGACGCCATATTGAAAAAGAGTGCGAACGCGCTTTTGTTTTAAAACCGGCTGAGCTCTGTTTAATTTCAATAAACAAACCTGTATTGTTGAGTAAACAATACGTGAATGACTAATAAACGTGCGGCAACATAACACAGTTTATGTTTATGTTGTACCTGAAGGTGTGAAGTCGTGATTTTAAGCTTGTCCGATCTCAGGGGGTCATCTATATATGGACAAAGGTGTTTTTAAAAAGGCAATATGTTTCCCGGGGATGGTACTCCCTTATATAGGCTATATAGGTATGCGAACGCCAAAGGGTATGGTTTTTTAGCCCAGTTTTGGTCTGAAATAGGGTATGGCAGGAGCTTCTGGGTATGGTTTGTGCACTCTAGTCTTGAATTGTTTTTTTTTCTTTTTAGAAGAAGCTAAAGTTCTTCATAATTAGGCGATAAGACTATACGCAACCTGCTTTATAGCGTAGAATTTTAAGCTTGAAACTTTGTATTGTTTTGTACTTAATAAAAGCGTCAGTAAACATTGCCTTTAACATTGGTGAGACCTAAAAAACTGGTTATAAGGCAGGTCTGAAATAGGGTATCAAATTTTTGCTCAGGTCTGAAATAAGGTAGGGAAAATCATAGATTTTGGTCTGAAATAGGGTAAGGGTTTCAGGAAGCGTGCCGCACACCCCCATCCAATTTTTCTGGCAGTACGCCCCCGGGATATGTTTACAGAGCCTCTCTACGGGATACATTAGGCGGTAAGCCAGCCTCGTCCCTAGGCATTCTCGGCTCGGTCAATCCTAGGCCTGGGCTCTAACGTGAGCTGTGACGTCACAGAGAAAGACTTTCCCAGACTTCGCACGGACAACGGGGCAAGAGAGAACGACTAGGGCTGAGGCCGGAAGCTACCATCAGTTACTGTTTTAAAGGGGAGGGGAGGGGGAGGAGGCTCACTCCACATACAGACGTAATTTTAAGAAGGAACCCCGCCCACGGGGTAGGATCTACGACTGTAATGATGAACGCCAAAGGTGGCAATATCTAGAGAGCTCCGTGGTTCTTGCTTCTTGAAATTTGAATATTTTTGCTACGAAATACGGTTTCCGGCCAGGAGCCCACTAGCGTTATAGCCGTTGTAAGTTCAAGGACAAGTCAAGGCGTTTTTAATGCTAAGCAATCAGTTTTGGTGAAAACAAATGCAGAAAAAATCGAAATCGCCTTTCAGCTTTATGCTTACAACTTTCTGAGTGAAGGTAAGAGTTAATTTTAAAATAGCATGTTTGAATATGGAACCGTGTAGATCCCGCACTGCGGTCTTCTATACCCCAATTATGGCTCCTGATAACAGGGGAATTAAGGCGCCCAAGGAAACAATAAGCGCGCGTGAGAGAACGAGCTGCGCGTCCTGTACTCGCGCGCACGCAGTTCCCTATTGGAAGCAACTAAGCAAAAAATAATTATTTTTCCTTCTACATTCTTAGTGTCATTGATTTCAATTCGACGAATGTGAGCTGATGAGTATTTCATGTAATTTTAAGGAAGAACTATGGAGCGCATGTTGTAGAATACAGGCCCAATCCTTCATTGACACTCAGCGTCCGCGAGTGCCCATAAAATCTTCCCATCCCCCGAGCTTTTGTTATCCAGTTTTTCTCAGAACTCCAATCTCAAATTCCCCGCAAGCCTTTCCACTTTGCCCTTGACAAGCTGATTAGAATATAACGGCAGGTAATGGGTTTCATAATTACTTGTATCAACAAACAACTGATGCCTAAACATCAACTTGGGTTACCATAAAGTTGTTTATTTTCAAGGGATTGATTAATTAACAGTGCCGAAGTCACGTATCCTCAAACTCTGTTTTGCCCGCCCAAGAGGTCGAGGCAAGAATAGTTTGAAGACTTGAACAAGTGCAACTCTAACTTTTGAGACCGTAGGTGAAATCTTGTGGCGAGATAGTCTGTTTATTTACAGTATCTTCACCTGAATGCCTCCAAGGGCTAAAGGCTTTACCATTTAATGAAACCTTTTCAATTACAGTCAACTCCGTTAGTATGGATACTGAGGGGCCATATAAAGTGTTTGTATTAACAATTTGAATTTGGAGAAAATATAAGGGCTTTCTTTCCCCAGGGACAAAGCAAACTGTCCGTAACGAGGTGTCAGTGTTAGCGGGTGACGTACGAGCGGGGGTTTGACTCTTTCAGCTGTACTTTCCCTTGTTTTTGTCAGTTGTTTTTGTTTTTTTTTATTTTTTATTTTTCCCATGTCATATCCGCACTCTTTTTGCATTTAACCCGGTAAGTCCTAAAGAGTAATCGACACCAATTTTCCTCCATCAGTGTCAATACATAATCAAGAGAAAATGTTATAAGAATTAATAGGATGATCACATCATGTTTTGATCGCTTATCAAATTCTAGTTCTTTAGGAAATGAACATGTAAATCAGTGTGGAGAATTTGTATTTTGATATTGGGTCTTATTGCGCCGGGGAGTAACTCGTGTAGGAAAGAACCTCGGGATTTAAACAGCCATCTCAGCTTCCTGTGCTGAGAAATATTCAGTGATTCCAGGATGAACGAGCGGAGCGAGACCGTTCAGGTAAAACTTATTCTGGATCGTAGTCAGCCGTCTCCTCCCCTTAACCGGTGGGGAACACGGTAGCATAAATAATACGAGATGTCAAACCCGGACCTGCCTTTTTTTTTTGAGAAATAAGAAGGCACGCTGGGTCTCACACACAGTGTGCACGTGCGCACCTGCTCTGCAAGGCAACAATCTTAGACAAAATAGAGGGAAAATTTGGCTCATAATACTCCCCTCCCCCTGCCCCCAAATTAAGTATGGGAAAACGGCGCGTTTTGCCTTCCGCACGGCTTCATCCTTGATTGGGGGAATGGGGGTTTCATGCTGTTTCATTTTATCAGGTCCAAGATTCGCGAGCACGGTGACTTTTGAACTTCGCGAATTTTAGATAGAGCGACTGAGTGCTGTTAAGAACTGGTCTTGCTGAGGCGTGTCTTGCGTCCTTTAACCCGGAAATTCACGTACTTGATTAGGAGCTGAAGAGACTTAAAAGACGCACGTGCTGGCCTGCTTGTGCATAGAGGCGAGATATCTTCCAATCTTTAACCCAGTTATGTAAATGATAATTCTAGCGACGAAAGAGCTAAGGATGAGCCAAAACGCATAAGGAGAACATGGCTTTGATCATGTTTTGAAAGAATCTTGCCACAAGTCATTCTGTATACTCATCTGACTTATTTCTAGTACCAAAGAGTCGTTGAACGCCATCACTCAAGCTTTAACGACAATCGGCTTTATCCTAAGCAAACAGGTACACCCCAAAACAAGCTTGATTACAATTGAAACGTTTATTCAATAAATAACAGAATTAGATCCGGGCTAAACAGGTGTCAGTTTTCTTTACCTCGTCAAAACATTCGAAAACATTGATAAATTCATTGATTTTACCTGTTTTATATTAATAATTTTTAAATAAACAGTTTCTTTTCAAAAAAAACTGATGTGCTAGCGCTCTCCTCAGTATCCGCAGCAAAACATTTCGCGCTGCAACCTCGAGCGTAGAAAAGCCCTTATACATGTAAGCCAATAAAAGCCTACCACCTAAAACTCCTAAACACACCACTATCTATTTCATCAAATATTCTCCATTCTAATTAAATAGTCGAAATTTTTTGATCAAATTTCATAGTTATTCATAATCAGTGAAAATACAGTTAATGTCTTATACAGGCGTCTCCAAAGCGTGTTTGGATTTAGCAAATCGCGTAGCTGAAACAGACCCCTTTTTTGTATCCCCGGAGACTACAACGCTGCTCAAATGCTCACGAAGGAGCTGGAATTGTTTTACAGCAGGGCAATTTGTTACGTCCAATATTTCGACAAAACTGAACCTCTGGCAA